TGATCCTCACCGTGGCTTATTCAATAGTTTCTTTTGCCTATTTACAGCTGCAAGTGTGCCCCAAGCGCGTCTGCATCTCGACTGTCGGCGTTCGCAAGGATTTGTACAGACGCGATCCGCAGAAGGTGCCGATCACAGATTTCTTTGGCGCCATACGTCCAACACGCGTTTCCACTGATCGCATCAATGTAACGTTGGCCGACGAAGAGTATGTCTAACTCATGCTATACTATATATGCTATATTATAGGGGGCAATTGATTATTATTCATTGAAATCCATCTTGCAGGGACTTCTACACTGATTTCGACCACATGCCACCAAAGAAGCAGTTCAAGATCGTCATTCAGCCGCAGTTCATAGCTAAAATAAATAAATAAGACTTGGTCCGGGAGCGGCGAGCAAATAAATGAATTCCAAATGTGCACATTTCATGTGATAATATTAACTTTATTCGTAAATACATTTCATTTCATTAATTTATATCATTAATAATATTATTATTATTATTATTATTATTAATATTATTAATATTAATACAATGTGTAATTTATTAAATGTGTGTATGTGTGTGTGTGTGTGTGTGTCTCGAATCGTGCTTTAAAACTTGTCAATTTCGGGCTTAGTTCGTTTCATTATTTTATTTTGTTTTTTCTTGTTTTATTATTATTCATTATATTTTGCTAACATTTTATTTCCGTTTCCTTTGCCCATTTACATCAATGTTAAATTATATCATCTTGTTTCAATTTTCTTTTTTCTTTCTTTCATTCGCTAATCCATCAAGTAACATTTTATTTAAATTCCAAAACTAAACAAAGATTGATGTAAATATATATGTATATATGCTAATGTGTGTCTGTGTATCGTGTGTGTGTGTCTTGTATATATTTATATAAAACGCTTGAGCCAGTCCTTATGCCTGGACACTCGTACAGCAAGTAGAGTCCTTGCCTATGCTGTCGAAAAAAAAAAAACATTTTGTCTATAGCTATTCTCTCAATTTTTTTTTTTTTTTCATTTTTTGTTACTTATACACAAAAAATGTTGTTGTAAGAGTAACAATGGCATTTTCCTGCACTTTTAGCAGGATGATCTTTTCTCTATCCTTTCATTGATTTATGTGTGTTTTTTTTTTTTTTTTTTTTTTTTTTTTTGTAAGGATCTACCTTGTTTTTGTTTATGTATATATATTTTTTGTGTTTCGATTTCATGTCGAAAAAATGCCAAATATATATATATATGTATATATTTGTGTGTGTGTTTGTGTAAGTTTTAATAGCTTTTATTGCATCAGTCCCATTGGTTTTGAGTTGTTGTGTTTATCGGTTATCGTTATCGATTATTTTGTGGGGGTTTCTTGATCGAGTTAAGCACCATAAAAAGTATGTACTCCCCTTTTAACTGGCATACACATAACACACGCTCTATAATTTACTTATTTTTTTGATTTTTATATATATTTTATATTGATGAATTTTCTCTTTGAGCCTTTTTTGAAACAGGTCTGCTTCAAGTGCTTCTGCTTCGAATATCGTTTATATCATGCATAGCGAGTGCTGCCTGTGGTCTGAGTGAATACTACTTAGGATCGTCTACATGTGTCTATGCGTATGTGTGTGTGTGTTTGTTTGTTTGTTTGTATGTGGATGTTTCAACTCTTGTAAATGTGTTTATTAAAAATTAGCTAGCTAATCGGGGCAAAAGCAAAGTTTTCTTTTGCTTCTCTTTACCTTTCTTTACTCTTTTCTAACAGTATCTCTAGTGCGTGTGTTACATGAACGTTACTCGCTACTCGTTACTCGTTACTTGTTACTCGCTACTCGTTATTTACAAAGACATAAGAGCATATTGAAGTCATGTACTCGCTAGTCTACAAAAATGGCCTGGCCTAATTCCGGGAGGTTTTCCTTTTGGATACGGTTCGCTTCTCAATGTGTACTCCACTATATATCTATATAAATATAACTGAATGAATGGGAATAATCGAGTTGGAGAGGGAGCGGGTGCGGGGGGTTGATTCATGGTGTTTCTAGCTCAAATGCATTGCAGTAAAATGACAATTTATGGCCTAACACTTATTTGATAACACACAGTGCAAAAATATGGTATCATCATCATCATCATCATCATCATTTGCTCTTTCACTACTTTTTTTTACGCATCTATATACCATACATATATATTGTATATGGGTATATATATATATATGTTGACTATACTTTTCCATTATTTAATTATTTGTATTCGTAATCTTATATTATATATATTTCATTAATACACATACAGTTATATTCTCTTATGCATGTACTCTTATGCATTTTTAACTGCTGCGTTTCATATGCGGAAAACGAAAAAACAAAACTGAAAGACAACTTTCGCTATGGAAAATCTTTTCTCTATCATTTTCTCTTCTTCTTTTAACTCTTTTGTTTTTCTGTCTCTTGAAGGCAATTTGATGTCAGACTCTTGCTTTAAACGTAATTACATTTCTCTTAGCTATATATTATTCACTTGTTTTTCTTTACCATTTATATTCTCTGTATCTATGAGTGTTTGTGTGTGTTTGCATGTGTGACTGTGTGCTTTGTATGTGCGAGCGAGAGGGAGCGCGTATTTGCTTCGTTTGTGTGGAAGGCGTTAGGAATGGTTTTTGTTGTTGTTACTTTGGGCTCGGTTCAAAACTGGGGGTATTATTTATCAAGTTTTGCCATATTATAGATTTTATATCTTCTAGTTGTCCTGAAATCGTAACTCTTTAGTGGAAATTTAATTTTTAAGAATATCTTTTCAGCATGTTCGAAAGAGACAAAAATAAAACTATGGCTAGAGAAATTTATAGTAGAGAATGCAATGGAATAACCTTTATCTGCTGCTGCTCAAGTCGTTAAGCTCAACTTGTTTTTTATAGGCAATTTTCGATCTAGGAATCTAGGAAATTTAGTCTATTTTGATTCGATGCGTCATTCTCTTTGCAATTTCTCTAGGGAAACTTGAATAGGTTGGCTTAAATTGCTAAAGATTCATTCAGTTGGTCTATTCGTATACCCTGAACGGCAATCTATATACAGTTCACGTCTGCTTCGCATGTCTTCAACTTGTTGCGTCTCACACTGAGCGCCCCTAAAAGTATGCAACAGTTCTGTTATTTCTTCAGAATTTGAAGGACGATGCGAAATAGTAAATATTGTCGAAATATTTTCAATTGATTTGCTAGAAAAAAAAAAATAATAATAATAATAAAAGCTTGGTTGGAAATCGTGGGGAATCGCAAGAGCTAAGAACTAAATAAGAAACGAAAAAGGAAATTATTTAAGAATTACATTTATTAAAAATGTTGTTAAAAAAAATGTATACAGACAGCAAAAAAATCAACAAAATTAATACATTTACAATAAACGATAGTGCGACATCGATATCGATAACGAACGGCATCGATCGATAGCCCGATTTCAGGCTGTTTTCCTTTTTTGTATGTTTGTTTTCATTCTCTCAGTTTTATGATCATTTTTTGTTTTTTTTTTGTTTTTTCATTTTATTTTCTTTTCTTTTTGATTACGACGACGACGCTTTCGCCATATAAAATATATATATATGTATTATAAATACATACATATATACATGTATATATGAATAGTTATTTGTATGTACTATGCGATAATTATGTTTAGTATGCATATGTATATACTATATAGTCATATACATACATAATAATAAATGAATACAAAAAAAAATTATAAATGAATAATTAGAATTAGTTTTTTTTCTTCTTTCTGTTGATCAAGTGTACAAGACAGGATACATACAAACATACAAAAAAAAAAAAAAAAAAAATTAAAATAATAATAATAATAATAATAAACAGTTGTATAACTTTGTATGCAAACATTTTTCATCATCATCTCAATTATTTAATAATTAATATTATATTAGATTAGCTTAGGCTTAGATGTATGGGTGTGTGTGTGTGTAGTTGATTAAACTAACATTACAAAATATGCAATTTAAATAATTTAAAGTAGAAGCTTGCTGTAGCTTTTGCCGTGTTATCGTTTATCGATAAACGTAGCCAATCGCCCCTCGACACTCCCACAACACGCTCACCCCTTAGCCCAAGCCCGTTACACGCAGCGCAGCGTGTGTGTGTGTGTGTGTGTGTGTGTGTGTGTGTGTATGGATGTGTGTGTGTGAATTTCTCTACAAAAAAAGTACTTAAAAACCAGGGACAGTAAAAACTAGCTAAATACGACTTTAGTTTATGTATATATATGTATATATATATATATATATATATATATATATATATATATATATATATATATATATATATATATTAGATGTATGCGTGTATATATACCTTATATGGTTGATTTGCAGTATATATATATATATATATATATATATATATATTCAGATCTGTGTGTATATATAGATAGATATATGTATATATATGTATACATATATATAAAAAAAAAAACAATGTATTCTTATAGCTGTAGACATTACATGAGTGTGTATCTTTGTGTATATGTGTGTGTAGGCGTGTTTGTGTGTGTGTGTGTGTCTATAGTCAACCATAATTGATTAGCTCAATTTTAACTGATCTTAAATCAACTTCCATATGAATAAATGTTAACACTTAAATTAAGATTTTCTTCTTATTTTTGCAATTATTTTGCATTCTAAAAATTTTGCATAAAAAAAGTTTATTATAATTATATACTTATGTGTGTGTGTGTGTGGGTGTGTGCTTATATATGCATATATATAGATATATATGTATATTAATAATGTATGTATATAGTAAAAGCATAATTTATTTAGTTTAAAAAGTCCACACACACTTACACACACTCACGCACACACACACATACACTTTCGTAATGCCATAAAAAGCACAGAATTCAGTTCTAGAACCGAATGAGAACAACACAAAACAAAAAATCTATTTAGTTTTTCATTAATTCTTCTTTGTTTTTTTTTTTTTTTTTGTAGCCAAAA